ACAATTCTGAGTCTATGCTAAACTGAATTTACTCTAATTCTTCAAACAATTTAAAACTGTGAAACAAAAACTGAAACTCACTCTGACAGTTAAGGTTGGCAGATATTTCCGCTGTTCCAATGCTGTTTGTAGCCCTACAAGTGTAGGATCCCGCATCCTCAGGTACCACAGACAAAATAGTTAATGCTACATAACCAAAGTCATGGAAAAGACGATACCTGTGGCCTGTCCAAGTAAAACAAGTGCCCAATGAAACATTTATTATTTAAAGATTCATAAGATATAACTTGAATATTGTTAATAATACCTCATACACCAATAAAAATTTATTTCAATACTTAGTCAGAAATATTTGAATTTTTGCTGTCTAATGTAAAAGATACACTAAAAGTAAAATATACAGTAGCACCTCCACATTAAGGGCATCCTTCTGCATCCAAATACTCTCTATAGCAAGGTGCCCTTAATATCAAAAATGACCCACGCAAAGCTGGATTCCATATTGACCGTAATAATTTTTTGAATTTTAAGCCCCCCCCCCCACGTTGCCATGACATGGAGCATTGTCTACAGGAGGTCCCACGGGGTGGATTAGCTGTGCCCTTGTTTCTTTATTATTACTCACAAAGTTTCAAAGTACTTCTCTTCAGAGTTTGAACTGCTAAACATTTCACATTTATTTTACTGTCAATCACTGAAGTAGAAATTGGATGAAAATAAAGCAACAAACCATCGCTTTTGTCATTCGACTGTTTACGTGACACTGTAATACGATACTCTCTAGAGCAACAAAGCACACGCACAGAAATAAGCCGACTTGACCCCTGCTCCGAGAACACGATGTAGAATTTAGCAGCTTATGTATTCTATAGTGTTTACAACGAGAATTCCCCAGAGTAAATATTTTGCACTTTGAAACTGTGAAAATTTTTATTACAGTATATGGTTCGGAGCCGATCTAATAAACATCGCAAGTGTTTGAATATTGGTCATCCTTCTGGGATGTTTGGAGTTTAGCAGTATACCATACAGGCATACAAAGATAACTGCCCGCTTTATCGAGAGCCCATATAGAAAACGAAACTAAAGACACTGTCCTTTACCCAGAATAACGAGGTGGCCGTTACTGCAAGATTTATTTTGATTAAAATTAAAAGAAAAAAAAAGAGATTAAAAAAATCTGCCCCTAATGGCGTGGTGTCTGTTGTTTCAAGGTGCCCGTTAATCGAGGTTCTACTGTACTTAAATTTTGAATGAAAAAAAAAATGAATAGCAATTTAAGAAATGGTTGAATTGATTCAAAATTATCATTATTTGCTGTATTGAAAAAATATCCATGCATTTATCACTTTGACTAAATGAACTGGAGGTAAGCAATTCGATTGATAATAATTATTAATATTTTTTAACAGTTTATAATGTTAAAAACATGAAGCTAATAAAAGAAAACTCTGTAAATTTAACGGTTTATAATGTTAAAACATGAAGCTAATAAAAGAAAATGTAAATTTAACAGTTTACTACATAACTGTCGTGGAGTCACAGCACCTGTCGACCACATACCTGTCATGGAGTCACATCATCTGTCTATCACGTACCTGTTGTGAAGTCACATCATCTGTCGACCACATACCTGTTGTGGAGTCACATCATCTGTCGACCACATACCTGTCATGGAGTCACATCATCTGTCTATCACG